AATAGAAAGTAACTTATCGCCCTCTCATAATGTATGTATATGCGCACACATATCATTCGCGTAACTACTGAATGATTTCCTTCTTAAAAGTTCATTGTAAACATTTGTAACATTGAAATCGTTGATAATAATGTGTATATCTCATCATGCACAATAATAGTGATAATGTATCAGAAAATATTAGTCAGTATTTTGGACGATTCTTTGGATGGTATACTGAATGAATACTGAATTTGTATTAAAATATTTCAAATCAGATGCTTAGTTTGATTATACTTTTGTAAATGCAACGAAAGTAACGCTGTAAATATAAAGAGAAAGAATCATATTTTGTTGTGACGAGTGTGTGTGTGTAAATGTATTGTGTGCATGCAGAACGCGTAAAGGAAAAAGGGAACGGGGGAAAAAGAGAGTGAAAGAAAATGGGGGAGAATGTATGCGAGTATACTTGTAATAAAGCATATAAAAGTTGACTTAAGCGAAATAATATGAAAGTAGAATTACAAGAAGATAAATATTTGCCTGTTAAAAAATGACTATTCTATGTTTATGTTTGATAAAACCTATTTCTATATACTTGAATGAGATACTTCTGCTGTAGCTCAGTGATAATTATCTTTATTTGTACGCGCGTATGTGTGTGTGCGTGTATATGTGTGTGTGAGATACGTGATGAAAGAATTTGCTTAATTTTTCGAATGAGAAAGAAGTCTAGCTGTAGAGACACACTTAACCGACACAATTCAGTTCTATCCTTTTTTTTAAATCGTCAAAAGCAAAGAGCTATTCTATGGATATAGTCTTCCGTTTTCAGTAGTATGTTACGATATCATCGCGAATTATGATGTTCGCGTTCGTTATAACACATTGCAAAGATTTGACAAAAAAGTCTTTTTGCCAATCATGACAATATTAGGAAGTTGTATAAAATCGAATTGTATGATATACGAAGAGCTTAAATACAATAGACTGCACACAATGGCAATTATAATAGATATAAATATATACAGGATGTCTACAGAATAATAGGTCAGTATCCTGATTCTGTAATTCTTATATCTATTCTACAATATGGTCGCAAGCCATAAGAAATTGATCAATCACAGTTGAATATGAAAAAAATAATCGACTATGATTAATTAATTTTTTACGAATTCTTTACGAACATCTTGCGATTCTATTGTAAAATAGCTATTAACTACAATACGATATGTTGTCGTTGCGCAGCTCTTTTATCATGTATAATATCTGTGTAACACAACCGATACTATCGTTAAGAGTTACAGAATTGGAGTACTCATCTTTATAATGTTATCAATGTTATATCTTTATAATATAATTCTGATTTGTGTTTAAACACTTCTCGGTCTATTTCACTTAACATTGTAGATCTTTATAAATTAATTTCTTAACTAAGAATTTCTTAATTATTGAAAATTAATGATTGTAAAAAACATAAAATGGTGCAGGACTTTCCTATTCAATTTAATCCGCTTTACAAAGCAATATTAACCTATTATCAGACACCCTGTATATACACATATTTATATATATATATATATCATATTATAATGTATATATACGAATACACACGTACAGTTGTGTGTAAGAAAGAAGTTTGTAAGTGTAATAAGGATAAAAGAAACACCGGACACAAGGGCCAAACAGCAGTGTAATATTAAATAAATCGTATCCTAGGGATAATATAATGGATACTCAACAAGTATAGTATTTCTTATTGACACATATATATATATATATATAAATATTATTAAATACAGCAAAAGAAAAATTTTATAGAGAGAAGATATCGACAGAGTTTTATCCATCCATCATCAACTAGCTCAGCAGTCCGAAAAATTGCATATTTTTTACCTCGATATTATAAAAACTTCGCGGCCGAACGTTTGCACATAAATATTAATTATCATACGCAAGAACGATGATCTCAATTACGCGAAGCACGTTCGGCATTAATGATTTTAGATACTACTGATCTAGTTGAGTCTCGCAAGAGAAGGAAAAGAGAAACAGAAAAAAAGACAGCGTCCGATTGTATGTTACTGCTGAGAATATTTCGTTCCCGACTTAGGAGAGAATAGCTGCTATTCACGCAAACGCAATTAGAGAGTAGTTTTATACATACGACACGAATTATCAATACAAAATAAAAAGAAAACTTTTTATAAAATGATACATTTATACTCATTCACTCCAATTGTTCTTAGGAATTTCATCCTTTTATCGGTAGTTTCCCTATCGTCTTAATTATACTTTCATATGAATTTATTACGCTTCTAGATCGATATTCATAGTTGACTCTTATTTTAAGGCCATCTTAAATATAAGAATCGACTAGAATACACTGGCCATAGGCTGTATGAATATACCATATATAAATACATAAACCTAATATTTTATTTTAAGTAATGTCTTTTTTAAAATGTTAATACGGCTCTGTGGCTGGTATTCAAAGAGAATACCAGCCAGATGTAAAATATATATTGTTATTAGCGATTTATATAATATTATTTTTGACAATAAAGAGATAGCACCTCAATCAAGCAACTCTTAAATATACATATTGCTGGAAAACTTGCATCAATCGTTTCTTGCATTTTGCCGTAAAAATAGCATGAGATACACAAAGAGGATTTCGATTATGCATGTGGAATAGTTTTATCGATGTTGAAACCGAGTGCTTTCCAGTAAGGACACAGACACTGTGTAACATAGTGAATCGTTTCATCCTTGTTTAACGTAGGCAAAAAACAAGGATGAAATGATTCACTGTGTTACACTGTGTCTGACTATGTCCTTGCTGGAAAGCACCTACCGTTATATTAGAAACTCATAGTGATTTTATATATTATTTAATAAATTAAATCGCGAACGCTTTTATTTTTGGATTTATTGAACACCAGACTTATTATTATTAAACATTGGGGGAGAAGGGGGGAGCATTCATCGCGCGAAATACAGAATAATTCAAATCCGTCAAGGTGCATTCTATAACTCGAGGATCCGTTTAAGAGCGGTACTTAGATCCGCTTCCACCAATAAAAGATTAACTTTAATTGAAGATTAAAGCCGGCGGCACACGATACTTGTTTTCTTGCTAGATTACATGCGAGGCGTTATGCTAGCAGCTGTGCTGGCTACACTGCTAGAAACATGGCGTACTGCGTGCTGCCATGTGTGCTAGCATGCTAGTTTTCAATGATAAATCTGGTGCTATTTTTCTTACGAGATTTACTGCAAAGTAGGTAAAGAATTTAGATTAGGATATACACAGAAGGTATTATTTAAAAAAAAGATAATATTTAACGTATGTTTTATGTAGTAATATTGATAAACACATAAAAAAGTAAGAATAAATTTATAGGAAAATGGAAGCCGTTATTAGAAGGCGAAGACTAGCTGCGGTTGCTCTCCTTCTAATAGTAACTAGAGAATAGGAGCAAAAAAAGAAAAAAATTATACAATAGAATATGTACAAATATCAAGTTAACTCACAAGTGAATTAACACGTGACTAGCAGCGCTTCCATCACAGCAGTACCCACTACCCAACGCAGGCCACAAAGAAGCAACGAATCTGTCAGCTAAACCAGCAAGAAAACAAGCATTGTATGCCGTAGACTTTACTTTTCTCTAATTCTAATAATCAGAAAAAGATAAATAATAAATTAAACCGAGATTAAATTTAATCTTACATTGGTGAAACCGGCGGGCCTTAAAGCAGCAACATAATTTAAACGACGCACTGATCGCGGGAATCGCAATCAGCGTGACTAATTAATAATTGCAGAATTACTGTACATGTAATGTATACCTGGCGATGATCGTATATCTGATGTATCTCGACGAGAAACTGAGAAGAACGAATGGAATTTGTGATCCAACTCCGGCCATATACAAACGAGTTTCCATGCAATGGTGATAACACGACTTACACACGCGATATTCAATACATCATGGTATATTGACGAACGCTCGACATTTTACGAGACGCACTCGCGACAATTTTTCGAGCGCGAGATTACTCTGAACGATCTCGGGAAAACACGAAGCGATTTGAACATAACTTTACACGATTGCCGCGACACGCATTTGACTTGGTTTGAATTATCCACGGAGTACGGACGGCACGAACTAAAAAGGAGCAAAGCACTCTCAAAAATGTGAAGCCGCAATCGCCATATTTGTTTGCGCCATTAGTGCTGCCATCTTAGCCCGGATCCTCATACGGGCAACAGCACTTTGACACAGAGCGCTAATTGGTGAAAAGTCGGTTGTGGGGGTAAAATTTACCCCATCACCCGTTTTTCACCAATCAGCGTTCGATGTCAAAGTGCTGTTGCCTGTATGAGAATCCGGGCTTATGGTTCCTGCATATTGGACGCAGAAACGCTTATTACGCGGCAAAATGTAACGCGGTAATAAGCTTACGACTTCTAATATGTTCATTGATTACTGGGAATTTTGCCGCGCAACAAACGTTTTCGCATTCAAAATTATAGAAGTCCGAATTCGCCTTTAAGCCGCTTCTACATTAAACCGGCGGCACACGATGCTTGTTTTCCTACTGGATTGCTAGCTGGATTAGAATCTTGCTACCGTATTGGATGTGATGCTGTCAGTGCCAGCATCGCAGCCAATAC